AGCAGATATCTAGTTTGTCCGGTTGCAAGACTGAACCAAGAATGGATTTCTGCACAAAGTGAGCAACTGCCTCTCACCTCGAAAACAGGTTTGTAACTCTTCTGTTTCTTCATTATTCCTACTAAGGCTGCTTTTAATGAAAGGTTTCCAAGCTGTTTTATGCAAAGAGGTACTTCCTGCTTCAAATGGAGCTCCTCAGTCACCAGGAACTTCAGACGGATGATTATAGAGTAAAAGTGGTGTTGTGTGGGACAAATAATGGAAAAATAATTAAGGAAGATGGAACTCACTTGTTCCTGTTTGCTTCTGCATCCAGTAAGGAATATAGATGTGTGGAAATGATGCACCCATTCATCAACTGGGGAAATGAGATGGCTTTTAATGGGGAAGTAGATGGGTTAAATAAGAAGTAACGAGTGGAGCAGTTGTCTCCAGGATGAGATTTCAAAAAACAGAAGAAGGCATAAAAGTGTCCTCTTAGAGAATAAAAGTAGTGCGTTTAAATTTTAATATGACTCACTCTGATTACAGGAAGTAAATGAGCTGAAGACAGCCTCTCTGGGCCACATTCAAGTGTAAGGAATGGTTAAAAAATGTGAGAGACGTATGTAAATACACACTTAAACTAACAAGCGCACACACACCAACAACATCAAAGCAACAGCTCATTATCCTCACCAAAAAACTGACCAAAAAAAACTCCCAAAACATCCATTACTGCGTGTCTGTGTGGGTTTTGGCTCACATGTTAGTTACAACAAGCGTTCCTTTGAAATCTCATCCCAATTTGTTTCCTTTCAAACTCATACTTTAATGCTCTGAATATCTGAGAGAATCAGATAACAGCGAGGTCACGGTGGTGCTCGACCCCCGCTGCTGCTCTGAGTGCATTCAGGTGTGCAGCAGATTATTTATTTTTTTTGTTATTCAAATGCGGCAGCAATGAATAGAAATCCCAAATCTGTTGTTTTGTAGATTGAATTCAGCACCATCTCCTTTATGTACTTTAGAATGGAAACCCTTTTGATTGTTTGTCCTGTAAAAAAGAACATTTGCAAACACAAAAAGCTTGTGATGCATGTAGGAGCGACACTTTGATCTCTGCTGCATATCAGCGACCCCTGGGAGGGTTATCTGTGGTATTTAGGGTAGCAGGAGCCGTTTGAGATTCGTGCGGTCTGTTTTCAGCTGATATGGCTTAAAACACAAGAAGGTAAATATGTTTGATGTGCAGGCTATAGTTTTCTTTCTTGATTTAAAAAAAAAATCCAAATTTGCTTTTAAGGCTAAAACTATATAAATGTGTGTGCATGCAAGTGGGTGTTTAAAGATATAAAAGGCTTTTGCTTAGATTTTATACCTGCATAGCTTTTTTTGTTTTTCAGTTATTTATTGCAAACGCAAAGTAAAAATAAAAATTTGAAGTTCATCCATCCATTATCTTTACCCATTTCTTCCATTTTTGGGTCGCTCTACAAAATCTTTTATTGTACAAACTTGCACACCAGCAGAAAAACAGGAATGTACACATCAAAGTTCATGTTCAATAATCCAGGTAAAAATCCAACGATGTTCAGTCAGGTCATCTGGATGGTTTCGTTAATTGCTGAGACATTTTGTCCTTCATCCAAAGGACTTCATCAGTCTGAGGAGCCACAAACAAACTGAGTCCCACAAGCAGCACACTCCCATAGTGGAAAAAAATGGGTTTGCTGGTGATAAGATGGTTTCTAGGGCCCGCCCTCTCCTCTACCAACTCCTCTGAGGCAGTCGTAGCCAAAGTGGTTCAAAACATCAAAGTTCATGCTTAATAATCCAGGTAAAAATCCAACAATGTTCAGTCAGGTCAGGGGAGAGGGCGAGTCCCAGAAACCATCTTATCACCAGCAAACTGATTTGTTTTGTTTTTTTCCACTATGGGAGTGTGCTGCTTGTGGGACTCAGTTTGTTTGTCACTCCTCAGAATGAAGAAGTCCTTTGGATGAAGGACAAAACGTCTCAGTAACAAACGAAACCATCCAGATGACCTGGCAGGAATGTACACATTTCTGCTTTAAATCTACACGATGACTTTACTCAAAGGTTCTCAGACACGACCAAGAGAAAAACTTTCTGAACAGAAGATGTCGAGAACCAGCTGCAAGAACTTCAAAAACCAGGTCTGGGAGAGAGAAAGAAATGTCTCTCTTTATGCAAAGTACATCTTAAATCAATCAGCTGTACGTACTGTAGATGTATATTTAATGATGTTTGGAAAGTTTCATTTAAGTCTGTCCATTTTACTTCAGTATCTGTAAAAAGATTTAGTTATAGCCATGTTTTAATGTCTGCTAGCTGTGGCAGCCATCTTAAATGGGGCTGACTCCAAAGGTTAATCAGTTATAAATGTGCATGCAGTGATTCCTTTTAGCCATTTTCATTCAAAATCATTCAGTGGTTTGCCTTTGCTTTGAATAACATGTGACAAAGCATGCACATGCATCCCAGATTCCGTGCACGCACGCAAGGACGTGGAAAAAAAATGCTGTGACATTTTATTAAATCTCCATTACTGATCAAGAGAAAAGCTAATACCAGAACTCAACGGACAACAGATTGTGCCTCACAGGATTTTTCTTTTTTGCATTTAGATAAATATTTGCAAACACAGATTAATAAAACTGAAATAATTGGCAGAGCAGCTTTGTGTTAAAGATATCCCAAAGTTTAATTAGAATCAGAGAGTTGAGGCAGAATTCATTTGTCCCTGCATGAACTAACTAATGGATAAGAAAATTACGAGACTGGTTTTATTAATAACGGAACATAAGCTAAATGAGCAATCCTGTGCAAAACTTGCCTAAATACTACACACAAACACCCTCCACAAGAAAACCAACCAGTGAACCAGTGAATATATACGTGTAGACAGGACACATTAGACACGTCAAATTAAGTTAAATATACATTTAACAATAACAAAGACAAGGATCAGATGTAGATGAAAGGAAAAAAATGAAATGGGGGGACAGATTGAGAAAGTGGAACAGAGGAAGCTGCTCGGCACAAAGTCTCAGAAGGAGCTGGGCTGAACGCACTCGCAGCAGATGAGGTTGTTTGAGTAGTGGCTCGCAGAGATTGTGCAGATCAAAGGTGAACTCAGTCAGTCAAAGCTTTATAGTGAAGACATAAACACATGTGTATGTCAAGACTGAAAAAAGGGAGTTAAAGAAGTTCTGGAGAAAAATTTTGCTCGAGGCAGGCAAGAGCCAAAATATATAGAAAGCCCTCGATAGTGCAGACTCCAGCACTGACGCTAGAACATATAGGAGACACTTTTCAAAAGTAAAGAGTGAATTCTGCAAGAAGCCATGATGAGCTGCAAGCTGGTAGACTTAACGTAGGATGAAATGGGAAAATAAGGAGGTTGACACATCGAAAAGTCTCAAATATTAAAGTTTAAGTCGTGTAAGGAAGCAAATACACTCTTTTTGAATTGCTTATGTAGTATAGAAATGTAGGTCAAGTCACAGTAAAATTCAGAGATGCTTAATCTTAAGGAATAGAGGTTTATTTCATTCAACACTTGCTCTTCTCAAGGGCGGACATCGCCTCTTCTCCCTCTCCGCTTTGCTTTTGCTCTGTCCTGTCTGTGAAACTGCTTGAGTCTCTCTTCTACAAATCTTCCGAATCATAACTACGGACTTGGATTTGGTCAGCTGGTCCCTCAACACAATTGATATTTATCTCAACCCGCCTGGAAAGTTTTGTAAACCTGATGCTCAGCCCCTCCCTCCCCTCCTACTGAGGAATTTCCATGGACTCTTCAGAGGAGCCCAGCTGAATAAACATTCTGTCATCATTTCAGGACTCTGGATTCGTCTCTGGTCGTCCTCGGCACCCCTCGAGTGTGCACGGACCTCTCCAGAGGGAACTGAGTGGTTTTATCTTAACTCTGCAGTGCCTCTGTGTGTTGTCTCTGGCTGCTCACTGCCCTTGCACCCCCCCCCCCCCCCGCGCGTAATTATGTGCTCATGTGCAAGATTTTTTTTTCATTATCACACTGGTGACCTTCAAACAGAAGTTAAAATCGTGTTAGGATTTTTCTTTGTCTCCAAACCCTATGTGTCATTTTTCACCACTTTTATTGTCTGTCCAAACACGTCTCACTTGTAAATGAGTCTTCGAGGCTCAATGTGACTTATCTGTTTAAATAAAGGCTTAATGAAAATAAGCCAAATTTTCTTATTTGATAACGCTTTATTTATTCATTTAATTTTGAGCATCTCGGTGTTCCATAATCCAGTAGATATTAAGACAGAAAAACAAGCAAAAATTATTCAGAAATGAGAGCAAAAATATAAATAAATAAATAAATAAATAAAAATCAGATACAGTAGTCCCTCGTTTATTGCAGAGGTTAGGCTTTGAACCCTCTTCCGATTGCAGTTTCCAATTGGGGAAATGGGTAAAGGGTGACTCCACGTAATTTTTCACTTCCATGAGCGTCTTTAATCTGTTCTAGTTTAAAGACAAAAATACTTAACCTGGACTAGATTATTCCACACTAATATCAGCATAATTAAAACCTAATCTGTGATTTGTCAAACTTTTATCTGATTTGTGAAACTTCAATAAAGGGCGATTTCAACACTTTATTGAATCATTTGAGCAGAATTAAAAGTCAAAATAGGCAAGTGTGTGTTTGTGTGTGGGTTAGGGGTCTCCACATCTCTGTATTTCTGCTCTCAGTTGCATGAGAAACTCCTCTCACTGAAACAAAAGGCATTTTGAATCATTTGAAATATTTTCTTCTTTTTTTAATACATGATAATTTTGCTCACTTAAACTAAAACAGATTAAAACACTTAAGGTAGTGAAAAATTAGGTGGAATCGCCCATTAGCCATTTTTCCAAAATCGGAAGAAAACTTCAGCTTTGTAAATGAAACGATGAATGAACACGTACCGCTGGTCGGACTGTGTGATCCAGTGAGTAGATGACTGGCTCTGTGTCTACTGTCAGGTCTGGTAGCACCTGTACAGGGTCTGGTAGCACCTGTACAGGGTCTGGTAGCACCTGTACAGGGTCTGGTAGCACCTGTACAGGGTCTGGTAGCACCTGTACAGGGTCTGGTCTTTGGTCTGGTGTCAGATCTGTGATTTTACATTCAGTACCAGTGGCAGTGGGAATAGCTAGAGCTTCCATCGTTGCCTGTCTCTAATTCTTTTCCCAGCATCTTTCGCTCGCTAGCCAGTGGCGGGGTTTAGGTGCTTTGCAGTTAAAAATGGTCGGCCCGGCATTTGATTTTAGCTTTCGCGGGTAACGACCGCCTGTCAGCTCCTTCAAAGTCTATGGAGAGAAGTGCTGAGAGCACAAATGTGGATCCTTCGGAAGTTTCATTCTTTTGACAGCTTTTTCCCATTGTGCTCTTTCTTTCTTTTTTCATGTGGGCAGCAGTGCACACTCACCTCACTATTTCTGACTTTTTCTGTTTTGAAATTACAGCCAACAGCGACGCAGTGTGGCATTATCTAAATTTACATACGCAATATCATAAAAACAACTCGGGTAATGTTAGCCTTCCTGTGTTTACTCTGTAGATTCCAGTACAGAATGAAATTACAGATTACAGAATGAACCTAACCGTGTCATCAACCCAGAATGCATTGCGCAGGTGAAAAAATGGCTGCCTCCATGGGTGAAAAATATAACAGAAGATATAAGCTTTTGAAGTAATTATGAGTTTTTACAAATCACAAACAGCATTTTTTAAGTTAATAGGAAAAAATAAATTTTTAGGCCAACATGTTCAACTAATCATGGATCCTTTAAAAACCCTTCCCACACTCTTGCAATGTTCTAAACTCATAAGTCTACGCCATTTTAACAACATACGTACAGTACTATGTATGTAGCTACTAAATTGTACTTACCGGGCTCTGCAGAACAGCAGTGGCTCAGTTTGTTTCCGGTCCGACTCTGTTCCATTTCTGCAGACCTACCCTGCAGCACCGAAGCCCATAATCAATGTTCTAAACTCTTAAACCTGCCAATTTTAACAACATACTTATATGTAGCTACTAAATTTTACCTACCAGCGTGTTCCCTCTCGGAGGTCCTCATCGTTGGCCAGTTGAAAATGAAAAACATGCTGGTGAGCTTCAAATTTACCTCCGGACCTTCAGCCATGCATGTCCGCTGACGGCTCGCCGTTGGCCGGTTGAAAAACATGAAAAACGTGTCTGTAGGCTTCAGATGGACCACCGGACCTTCGGCCGCACGCGTCCCACTCGGAGGTCCACGTGGGCAGGCTACCAGCACTCAAGATTCACCAATGTATCTGGAAGTCTGGTTCTGCTCCGGTTCTGGCCCAGTTCGGGGGTTTCCATGTGGCTTCTCTGCATCTGCTCAGATCAGATCAAAACTTTCCCTCTAGTTCAGCAGAAGGAAACGGGGCTTCTGGGCGGGGCCCTGTTGCCTTTTGGGAAATGTGGTCGTTATGAGCAGGAATACAGTGTAGGCTTACTGAGAGAAAACTACAAAATGGCAGTACCTGTCTGAAAAATTTAATGTTTTTGTTAACTTTTTACTGTACAGTGCTGTATCCGGTACTGACCCAATCACATGAGTAATATTAAAGTTGACAGTCATGTGTCCTGTACATTTTTTTTGTACTGTACAAAACTGTACGTTCACAAACAGCGATAGAGTGAGTCTACAGAAGTCGAACCGCAAAGTAGCGAGGGACTACTGTACATCACACAAAGGAGAAACGGGGGAGGGAAGCTACAAGTAATTTTAAAAACATCTAAAAATTATGTTTCTGCTGATGCCCTTCAGTTTTGATTTAGATGTTCCTGATTGTATTTTGTACCTCATGGCACAACAGCTGAGCATAGCTGAAGAAGTAATAAAAAAATATTTAAATTAAAGTAAAACATAACTCTTGGGTGCATAAGTGAGGATTAAAAGTCCCTACAATCCAAAAACAAAATGTAAGCCCAGCATGTTCCTTACAGAAAAGCATGCAGGGCCTCAACTGGTGTTTTTGAGCAGTTTCTTTCTAACAAGTTAAAACATCATTTAAACATCAATTTGTCACAAAACACAAATTAGTATAAATGTATTTATACTAATTGTACAAACTGAAAATAAAACAGATTGTTGATGAGGGATTACGCCAAAGTAATTTACTGATTAATTAAATGTGAGTCATCATCCTGGTCTCATGGGATAATAAAGAAACAAAACAAAAGTCAGTCAGTTAACCTTGATAAATAAAAACTATTTTTTTGTGACTCCCCTCCCCATCATGTTTTTAAAGTAATGCTGGTTCTTTCATGGCTTTAATTATTGTACAATTGTATTAGAAATACAAATATATGTAGGTGAGGTAGAAAAGTGCCTAATTAAACTGTTTTTTTTTTATATGCAATGACAAATTGTTGCAAATAAACATATACATATACATATAGAGTAGGCCCTCGCCACTTTGTGGTTCGTTTATTACGGACTCATTCTATCACGGTTTTTCAAAATAAGATTGGACATGACACACAACTGGCTGACTGATAGATAAGCCGCACGATCAGCTTGAAATTTTTATTTAAAATAAATTTTAGTAAATTACTTAGCACCTCCTGCACCTTTGTGCAGCCGCTACTGCAGGATAAACTTCCTGCTGCAGCTGATCAGCTGTTCTCCGTGCAGAGCTGAGAAGTGGGCGTAGCCAATAACACTTGCAGGAGGCAAAGAACAGAGGAGGCAGGGAGATGAAATCATGACATTCTGTTCTGTGCTCTTTTAGAGCGTTTAGAGTTTAGAAACATTGTTTAGAATATTGCAATAGTGTAGGAATGGTTTTAAATGCCTTTACACACACACACACACACACACACAGACACACAGACCCACACACACA